CACAACAAAATTTGGAACTTCTGGCTCAAGATGATGTCCTTCCATGATTAAAGAGAATACTGCTGTATCAAAACGAGAAAAGGCGTTTGTTTACAAAATGAGAAATCTTCATGTTTACTATTCTTAATGAGGATTAACATTTGTTTTGTTTTTATTTGGTTTTATCCAACTAAAAAGAATATATCATTCATTTTTCACCAGTTTAGATACAAAGATAGATATATAGAGAAAGATAACTAAATAAATAGATAGAAAGGGAAAGACAATGATAGTGACAATGACAGATATGCACATGAAAACAACATAGACAGATAGAGAGTGAGTGTGTATGAGAAATATAGAACCGTTGAGGCTACAAAGACAGATAGTGATAAATGGTTAGAAAGATAGTATGGGAGTTTTGAGAGAGAGAGAGAGAGAGAGAGAGAGAGAGAGAGAGAAGCAATGGTAGTGACAGAAGAATATACTGTTTGGTTGATTGATTGATTGATTGATTGCGATGTGAGAGAATGATTAATTGATTGACTATGTTTTAGTTCAACACGTAAAGGTAGATCTTTTGGAGAGAGAGAGAGAGAGAGAGAGAGAAGCAATGGTAGTGACATAAAAATTGAGACAGAAGAATGATAGATAAACGGATATACAATAGATAGATAAGAACATAAAAAGGTAGATAAATAGATGAATATACTGACTGATTGATTAATTGGTTGATTGAGAGGTGAGAGAATGATTGATTGATTGACAATGTTTTAGTTCAACACGTAAAGGTAGAGCTTTTGGAGAGAGAGAGAGAGAGAGAGAGAGAGAGAGAGAGGGAGAGAGAAAGAGAGAGAGAGAGAGAGAGGGAGAGAGAAAGAGCGGGAGAGAGAGAGAGAGAGTGATTGAAGCAATGGTAGTGACATAAAAAATTGAGGCAGAAGCTTGTAAACGGATATACAATAGTTAGATAAATACATAAAAAGGTAGATAGATAGATAAATATACTGACTGATTGGGCGATTGATTGATTGATTGAGAGGTGAGAGAATGATTGATTGATTGGCAATGTCTTAGTTCAACACGTAAAGTTATATCTTTTGGAGAGAGAGAGAGAGTGAATGAGAGATAAGAACGGAGGAAAAGAGATAAAGAGCGCTATTTTAAGAGAAATATGAATATACAGAAACAAGGAAAACAAACGTTATATTTGACACAATAATAGATAATAACAATTATTGATATTACCTCTGTTGTTGCGAAGCCTCGTTTAAAAATATATATATATATATATTATTTACGATCTAATTTTTCTTCTTTTTAGTTATCATTTGTCTATTCTAGATTCAATAATACGAAAAATAATTCAAAATTTTTAAAGTCCTTGATGACGCACAAATGTCGAAGCGTTGCACAAAAAATATGAATTGAAAATATGGCAAAAAGAGGGAAAATTCGAAAGGTTGTAGGTTGAGACGGAGAGGTAATGTCCGAGGGGATCGAAGCCACGATAGTTCAAGTGGTTAAAGCAGCGGCGTATTGAGCCGAAGGTCGTAGGTTCGAATCCCCCTCTGACAGTAATTTTTCATCTCAGCCAAACATCTTAGATAAAAAGAATAATTAATATGGTCAATTGTGACCACTAAGCAAATATGGATTAATATGAATTAGGTTTACAAAAAAAAACCTAAACTTTATAAAATTGTGTTAAAAAAATTAATAGTTATTATTCAAATATATTCCCTGGTAACGTTTTTGTTTGTAGGTATTTTATTGGAGTATTTTATTTGCCAGTTTTTGTTAATAAAAGCCTGTGATAAGAGTACATAGGTTGCGTGATAAATTAACCAACCTATAAAGTCTAGATGTATTTTACAACAAAAAATTAATAAATATTTTAAGCAATTAAATTTATGGTATTAATCCTTCAGCTTGGGACTTTTTTTATGAACGAGGATAACTGCCCACATCTTAGATGACGCAGGATGGAAATTCTTTTCCTTCATTAACACCCAAGCTGGAAAGAGAGAAGTGAGGAGAGACCGACATACATAAAGTACAGATCTGACGTAAATATTAACAGTTTTGCCTTTCTATTTGCCTGCCTGTCTAAAGAAAAAGTTTAATTGCAAGATTGGGTGTTTAAGGGGTAGAAAATAAATTTACAAGTGGACCAAATGGCGAAGAAAGTCCTCCAGAGTTCCATTGACGTCATCTCTCAGTAAGTTTCCGCCTTTCACCAAGTTAACTACTTTAAAAAATAAAAATCAAAAAAACCTTGAAAATTCAAAACACGATAGAGCCGGGGAATGTTTTTGAAAAGATTTATCATTGTATTGTCATTCTTTTCGACTGTTTTTCCAACGGGTCACTGTTGTAACGACTAATTGTAAGTTAATCTAAGTGATAAAAGTCAAGTTGAGGCAGTCGTGCTTTTTCGAATCGCCATTCAAATGTTAACGGTGACCCTGGGGTCAGAAAGAAGCCAGGAGACACGATTTATCGGGTTGAATGACCAAAACGGCCCTTCATGCTTTACAAATAAGAAAAAGCCCAAATTCTAAGCGCTCTTGTTGAGAACAAAAGTCTTACTAAACATATGATTTTTTTATTGTCACTTTTTCGTATTTAATGTAGATTTATCTAATAGTATGTTTCTTCTTAGCTATTTCACGGCTTTTATATTATTACAATGCCCTCCTGTGATTTGCCCGATTTGTCTTTGGAATTATTTAAGCGGAACTCCTTCCGGTGAAGTGAGCCCGTTTGAATGGAACTTTATTTTAAATGAAAAGGTTTCGTCTGATTTCAATTGAAAAGAAGCAATGAAAGGGCTTTGTGCCGTTTACATCGCCCGAGGTCAGCTCGCTTTGCAAATCCCCAAACATTTGAACACAAAACGTTTGTGTGATCGTTGTTTACTTGATGTAGAGTTTTGTTGATTTGTTAATCAATCAAAGGTGATACGAACTTATGATATAACTCTTCTTGTTAACTTGTTATATTGTAAATATTCACGTGCTTTGATAAAAGTTGTGTACGATAAATCATCAATCTACAGTTGTAAAATAAAATCTGTTCAAAAGGAAGACCATTTACTTAAAACATTAATAAAAGGCTCTGAGGCTGTTTATGTTTGTAAGATCGAGCTTAATTAACTAAGAAGGAATAATTATATAAACAATTATACTTTCGATTTGTAAAAATTGTTTGTGAAGACGATGTACGGCATAACATGATTTAATTTCAATGTATTTCGTTAAATGTAAGAAAGATCCTTGAGACCTAATTTTGAGAGAAAAGTAAAATGTTAAAAACAAATCAAAATCTCTTTTTCTTTGTGCCTCTGAATGTCTCTCTCCCTTTTTCTCTGTGTCTTTCTCTCTCTCCCTCTCTCTCTCTCTCTCCTTGTTTTGGTCTCTTTCTTCTCTTTCTTTTTTCCTCTCAACCACTCTCTCTCGCTATCTTTCTCCTTGTTTCGCTCTCTTTCTTCTCTTTCTTTCCCTCTCAATTTCTCTCTCTCTCTCTCTCTCTCTCTCTCTCCTGATTTTGCTCTTTTTCTTCTCTTCCTTCTTCCCTCTCAATCCCTCTCTCACTCTCCCTTTCTCTCTTTCTTTCTCTTTGTTTTGCTCTCTTTTTTCTCTTTCTTTCCCTCCCAATTTCTCTCTCTCCATATCTCTCTCTCCTGATTTTGCTCTCTTTTTTCTCTTCCATCTTCCCTCTCAACCACTCTCTCTCTCTCTCTCTCTCTCTCTCTCTCTCTCTCTCTCTCTCTCTCTCTCCTCTTTCTTCTCTTCCTTCTTCCTTCTCAACCACTCTCTCTCTCTCACTCTTTCTCTCTCTCTCTCTCTCTCTCCTGATTTTGCTCTCTTTCTTCTCTTCCTTCTTCCTTCTCAACCACTCTCTCTCTCTCACTCTTTCTCTCTCTCTCTCTCTCTCTCCTGATTTTGCTCTTTTTCTTCTCTTCCTTCTTCTCTCTCAATCCCTCTCTCACTCTCCCTTTCTCTCATTCTTTCTCTTTGTTTTGCTCTCTTTCTTCTCTTTCTTTCCCTCCCAATTTCTCTCTCTCCATATCTCTCTCTCTCTCTCTCTCCTGATTTTGCTCTCTTTCTTCTCTTCCTTCTTCCCTCTCAACCACTCTCTCTCTCTCTCTCTCACTCTTTCTCTCTCTCTCTTTCTCTCTCTCACTTTTTCTTTGTTTTGCACTCTTTCTTCTCTTCCTTTTACCCTCTCAACCACTCTCTCTCTCAATCCCTCTCTCAATCCCTCTCTCACTCTCTCTTTCTCTTTATTTTTCTCTCTTTCTTCTCTTTCTTTTTTCCTCTCATCCACTCTCTCTCTCTCTTTCTCTCACTTTCTCTGTGTCTCTCTATGTCTCTCCCTTTTTCTCTGGGCCTTTGTATCCCTCTCTCTTCCTTTCTTTCTTTTTCTCGTTAATTGAAAGAGGCATTCGGGCTCTGAATTTTCGAGACTTTTTAATGCACTACATTCATTCTCTTGGTCTTTTCCTATACTTTTGTTTACTACGTTTTCTATTTTTCCGTGTAATTCTCAAACAAATTATTTCAAAATAACTAATCTCTAGCCGTTAAGGTTGAGATTCAAGTTTACCAGAAGGCAAGAAAACCAAAAGCGATTTACTGACGATAACAGCGCGAGGGAAGGCAGGACCAATCTAAAGCCCGACATTTTTTTAAACTAATAATTAAGGTTTTTTAGTTGAGATAAACCTTAATTAATTGTAATGTGTTAATTGGTCAAGCGGACCACGAAATTAGTGAATTTTTTTTAACTTCCAACCTACCTATTGCTGGTTGCGGACGTGGGGTCAAACCACTTTACAATACCTTTTTCAATCTATTGTCAATTAAAAAACCATGGACGCCCTAACCACTCTGCCACCGCGGTCCCGATATTAACTTTAACCAGTTTTTAAACTAAATGATTAAGACAAAAAGTTCCTACAGGAAGGCTAAAGTTGAAAAGTTTAAGAGCTTACCTATCATAATAAATACGGTTATTGCACCATCCCGATGAACTGATGATACTGACCATGCCCTTACCGCTATTTATGTAACTATTGTTTTCGTTTGGAGTGAAAGACATTCGTGGCCGTCCTACCCCACGGCATTGACGTCAATGGGTCAATCAACTCGACCGACTGACCCTCGCCCGCGACAATGCGAAACGCAAGTCGGCAGGAGTCGTCCGAACAGGATTGTCCAGTTCCAACTGGCTTTCGGCGAGTCGCGGCGACGAGCTTTGACATACGACTAGCATTTCAGACTAGACTTAATTTATACACCACACGAGGCTGAACTTTATAGTTTAACGTGTTTTCCTTGTTCTCCGAGAAAAAAAAGTCCACTGTGGCCAATCCGATCTTCCTTGCAACAAGAACTCTACCAGGAAGGTACGAAAGGAAACTAAGGAAAATCGGGCTTTCCTGCTTTACCCATGAAAAAATCCACGTGGGCTTTTCTGAAATCCAAGTACGTAATATACCCTGGTTATCGCAAGGTCTCGTTTTATTTATTTAATTTTACACATTTCCCTCTTTAGGATTTTAAGTGCGCATAATCTTGTACACCGTGTGTATTTTAAGGTTCAGTTATAAAAAGAAACGTCAATTTTAATAATAGAAACTTCCGGGCAGTTTGTTTAATAAGGGATTCAATTGGCTTTTTCCTACTTTAGAGAATCTTTTGGGTTTTTTTTCTAACTTTTAATTGAAAAAGCTTACATTTAATTCCTGAATAGTTCTATACCATGACCATTGATTCAATTATCAAATAAAATACCAATTATCCACACAGTTCTGTAATCGAACACCTTTTTTGAAAGAAAATTATCTTAAATGCGGCCATATTTAACATTTAAATTAATATTTCTGGTTATTCGTATGCAATTCATTATCAGTTCTCACTTTAAGAATCGACCTTGATCCATTTATAAAATGGAATGTCAATTTTTATAATTGAACTTCCAGTATAGACTTGTTAGGAAGAGTCTAGTTCCGTCGTAGAGCAATAATGGCCCTTTGGAATTTTTCACTGTTGCAATAAATTTCCATCCAACTGGTGGATAATGTTGCCAGACCAAATTTCAACCAACAAGGAAGGTTTTGTAAAAGATTCTTTCGTTTTCAGAGTAAGAATCAGCTTTGGACCAGTTATGAAAAAAATAGTCAATTTTTATTATTGAAACTTACATCAGTCTGTTCAATATTATTTGGAGATCTAGTTCTGTCAAAAACCTGTCCTTATTCTAAACCTTGCATCACATATTTTGTATTTTATAACAAAATATGTATATTAATAATTTGTTCACATTTCAAAATCGACCTTCCTCCAATTATAAAATAAAAGTGGCATTTTTGTAATTTTGTAATTTAAACTTCCTGATGACCTACATGGGGACATAGCCGTGTCGTCAAAGAACTGTCAATATCGACAAAACTGAACTTTTTTTTCAATTTTCGTTCATTTATTTAATTAAAAATCATATCGTACTTACATTTTGTACTACTGACTGAAATGAATCTTTTTAACCGTCTAATTTGGACCAAATCCTTTATTTGTATTTTAGGTTTATTATAGGAAATAGAGAGCATAAATTTTTAATAGCCGGTATAGTTTAGTTAAAAAGTTGTATAGTTTCGACTTTTTAGAATATTTCGTATAGAATCTTATAACTATTATCTCCGACCTGTTTTTGTGCTAGATGCTCAAATTTTTTTTCAGTCATTTTCTCGCCATCGATTTCGGAGAGGAGGCATGTCTCGGGTTTGGTTACTTTGGATTTGGTTAAGAACAGTTAGGGTTATGTTAAGCGGCTCGTAGACGATCAATATTATTGCACAATATTTTGGGTTGTGTAATTTAATTGATAGTGTGTAGACGATATTGAAAGTTTGTGCAATACATTGCATGATTGACGAAAAGTTGAAAATATATTGTACAACCTGGAAAATATTGCACCGTCATGCAAAATATTGCATTATTGCGCAATACCAGTCAGTTTGTGAAGTATCAACAAGTGCACAAAATATTGCACAAACTTCAATATCGCCTTCAAACTATTCAAGTTCATTGCACAAACAAAATTTTGTACAATATTATTGAACGATAAGGGGCAACCGTCAAATTATTGTGCAATCTATATTGTACAATAATATTGACCGTCTATGGGCCGCTTTAGGGTTGGATTAGGGCTAGGAACGGGTTAGGTTAGGTTAGGCGAAGGGTTAGGGTTATGCCTGGTTTAGGGTTAGGGTTAGAGAGTCAGGTTATTTTAATGTGTTTTCACTCACCGTCAGGTACTCATTATACTAAACGGATTACTAAATTTCATGGGCTGTGGACACAGATTAATTAAGGAAGCAAAATTAAAGGGACAAAAAATGGTGGACGGAGACCAACAAAAAACAGGCAATGTGAACGGCACACATATAAAAAGAAACAGTGAGAGGGAGAGAGAGAGGGAGAGAGAGAGAGAGAGAGAGAGAGAGAGAGAGAGAGAAATGCAAACTGACACACAAAAAAAGAAATAGAGAGAGAGAGAGAGAGAGAGAGAGAGAAAACAGAAATAATGAGATTAGTGAGAGAGAGAGAGAGAGAAATGCAAACTGACACACAAAAAAAGAAATAGAGAGAGAGAGAGAGAGAGAGAGAGAGACGCCAACTTGCAAACAGGAAAAAAAAGAAATAGAGAGAGAGAGAGAGAGAGAGAGAGAGAGAGAGAGAGAGAGAGACGCCAACTGACAAACAGGAAAAAACAGAAATAATGAGATTAGTGAGAGAGAGAGAGAGAGAGAGAGAGAGGGGCAAAATGACAGACAAAAAAGAAATAGAGAGAGAGAGAGAGAGAAAGAGAGAGAGAGACGCCAACTGACAGAAAACATACAAAAAACAGAAATAGTGAGAGTAGTGAGAGAGAGGTAAACTGAGAGACAAAAACAAAAAAAGTGATGATGATCATGATCCCTTTATTTATCAATCACACAAGATTTAGTCTCAAGTACCATTCTTACATCTAATGTGAAATGCAACGGTTACTAATTTTAGTCTACTTCTAATTTATTAAACATTAATTACTTCTGATAAACTTATTTTTTTGTTCAATGTGTTATCCATTCGTTTTACATTGACCTACGTATGCATTTACTTAAAATTCCCTATTGAAATAGATATTCTAATTTACATAACAATTGAGCGATGAAAAAGAAAATTACTAAAAAAAATAAAATAACAACAAAAATACTTTTCAATACAATACAGTAAAAATCATAAATTAAAAATTGCCAATATAAATCTAGAACTAAAACTTTACTCACTAAATAGTAATATAAAAAACTAAAAACTAAGTGAGAGAGAGAGGCAAACTGACAGACAAAAAACAGAAATAGTGAGAGAGAGAGAGAGAGGCCAATTGACAGACAAAAACGGAAACAGTGAAGTAGAGGCAAATTGACAGACAAAAAACAGAAATAGTGAGAGAGAGGGAGAGAGAGAGAGAGAGAGAGAGAGAGAGAGAGGGAGAGAGGCCAATTGACAGACAAAAACAGAAACAGTGAAGTAGAGGCAAACTGACAGACAAAAAACAGAAATAGTGAGAGAGCGAGAAAGAGAGAGAAAGAAAGAGAGAGAGTGAGAGTGAATGGGAGGGAGAGAGAGAGAAAAGCAAACTGATAGAGAAAGAAACAGAAATCATGAGAGAGGATGGCACAGACAGATAGTGTCATTTAAATTGAAACATGGGGCCATTGACGAGGATAATGTCAACGATTTTACCCTCGGAAATCCCCTATTGTCAGCCTGCCACCAGACTATTAACTGACCTCTTTATAGATAGTTAATCTTGTTTTATTAGTCTGGCCATAGGTCGTTTATTCGAACGTTAAAATCGAATAGACGGTTTGTTAACATCTCATTGCCCGAGATAATCACGAACAATCATAAATTGATTAGTCCTTTTTTTGATACTTGGTCTTTTATACACAATAAGCTTTGCTTTGTTTTGGTTGAAATGAAAAAGCTACTGCCACGAGCGGGATTCGAACTATAAAAGTTTAAAAAGTTTTTTGTTGTTCTGTAATACAAAATGTTTGAAAATAATATGCATTAATACCCCTGTTTAAGAATTAATTAGTGACAACCATTATGACATTGTATAAAGGAAGTAAACAGGTGATGCACAAACTATGCGCGTAACTCAAGGAGTTTTTAGAAATTCTCAATAGTTTCGGATATATTTATTAATTTATTTTCTCCAAAACGCTGTTGTTTTAGGTTAAAACCGTTATAACTTTTTTGCTCTTCAAGGTATAGCAAATCAGATAGAACCTCACTGCTACAGATAGAGAGGCAACTCAATACATAGTCTCTATGTAAGGTATTGGTTGAGATAAAAAAGTCGGTGTCACGAACGAGATTCGAACCCACGACCTTCGGCACAATACGCCCCTGCTCTGCCACGTGAGCTATCCTGACTTCGATCCTCTCGGACACCAACTGCCCATCTCAACCAAACTTTTCCAATTTTCCCTCCTTTTTTGCCTTATTAAATCCATTAGATTTCGTGGTCCGATTGACCAAATAACGTGGTAGAGCAACGGCGTGTTTAGCCGAAGGTCGTGGGATCGAATCCCGCTCGTGACACTGACTTTTTTATCTCAACCAATACCTTACATAAAGATTAATTAATTGAAAAATGTTATTTGGTCAATCGGACCACGAAATCTAATGGATTCAATACATAATGTACACCTAATCTAAGCAATGCAATCTCACACCATGCATTTACTCTAATAAATACCATTAGCTTAAACATTAAGAAATTAACATTAAAAGAATGAGGATCTTGTGAAGGAAAAAATAATAGTGCAGTGGACTCAGAAACTTGTTGTGCCCAAAAACATCGTGGCATATGAGCATATGAAGCCAAGAGCTGTTGATTTAATTAAAAGAAAAAAGATTTATGATGTACAGTCAGTTTAGACATATTTTAACTTTTACAATTATTGTTACAAAAATTGCTCAAACTGATCTATATTGGAATTAAGTAATGTTATTTCAAGAGATCCTAACTCAAAATGGCTAAGCAGTAGCGAAGTAGACAGACCTAGTAGAGTGGTCAAGTGCTGATTAGTTTAACAAAATAATAATGATATTAGGTAATTCACTAATTTCGTAGTCCGCTTGGCCAATTAATATATTACAATTAATTAAGATTTTTAGTTGAAATAAAAAAGTCAATGGCACGAGCGGGATTCGAACCCACGACCTTCGGCTTGATACGCCGCTACTCTATCACTTGAGTTATCGACACGTCCCGCTCGTGACACTGACTTTGTAGCTCAAGTGGTAGAGCAGCGGCGTATCAAGCCGAAGATAGTGGGTTCGAATCCCGCTCGTGCCATTAACTTTTTTTCGCAACTAAAAACCTTAATTAATTGTAATATATTAGGTAATGTCTGAGAGGTTATGAATCT